TTGGTGGGGGAAACCTTAAACCTTATTGCTGCCAAGACAATGCATTGTCAAACTATGGTCTCGCACATTTCCTGGCATAGAAACACAGTCTGAGGATGCAAACTGCCTTTGCTCTCTTCTGCTCTGCAGCTGTAGGAATGTTTTTGGAGTGAGTATAGGCATTACAAACTTGTGCTTGCCTTGGTACCATTTACAATGAAACCACAGTGATGTGGGGCTTTGGCATGAGGTGCAACTCCCTTCCCCCTCTAGGACTGTAGGTATTTACTTAGGCAGGCAGGTTGGAGCTGCTGTGGCTTCACTGCTCCTTTAGCGGGATTAGCTGAGCATAGTTAGCTTGGAAGCTTCTCTGTGTGCTGCTGTTAAGCCTCTCCAGCAGCTATGGATATTGTGATGCTGTGAAAGTGTGACACATGCATTGAACCATTGTGTGGCCCTGGATTAGACACAGCTAATCTTTCTTTTTACTTAGAAGTTAATTTCTTTTTCCCTTCCTGCTTTCAAGTTAAATCTATGACTGGATTTCATATTCCCAAAGAATGAATGTGGCACCCAGCAGGAAGAATGTAGGCAAAAGGACAAGGGGACAGTGTTGCTGTTGTCTCCGAGTGCCAGTGAATTTGTGACTAACTGTAAATTTGTTAGTTTCTTCCTTACACCCAGCCAGGTAAAATTTGAGGCAGTGAGGGAGAGGAGCAGTTTAGAAGAGGGGACAAACAGGAAAATAAAGGAATGCTAAGTCTGAGAAAACCAAAAGAAAATGCAAAGGGGATAGAGATGAGAAAGGAGGTGAGAGGATGGAACTGAGAGTAACTGAGGAGGGGGATGGTGGAACAGACTCATAAAAGCTGGAGCAAAGCAAGGCCAGGGAGGGTCAGAACCAAGAGTGGAAGTAAATGAGGTTTTTAGCAGAATATGTGAATTGGTGATGAACCTTTGTAATAGCCCCAGGTAGTTCACTGCACCTGAAGATTGTGCTGTTGCAGGAGAGGGGTACTGTGAGAGTATGTCAGAGGGCAGTGGTAGAAATAGCTACTCCCAGGTGCTGAGAGGGCTCATTTTTATACGTTACAGCTGCTGCTCTTCTCTATGGGATGGGGTCTCCTACAGGTTACCCAAAGAGGAGGGGAAAGGGAGCCTGCTGGTGAGGTGAGAGAGGTATAACACGTTTAGTAGTGTCCTCAGTATCCCTCCCTGGGTGCTCTCTTAATACAACATGTTTGAGCCCATCATCCTGGCATCCCTACCCTTTCTCCTTAGTTGTCCTTGGTCAGCAATTGTCGTTCCTGTATTTCATCTTTCTGTCGTTTTTATGGCTCTGTTGCTGATGATTTACTGGCTGGCCCTAAAAAGAGAACCCATTTAATGCTCACCCTGCCTGGGACACTGGCTAAGAAACCAAGAGCTCTTGCTTAGGCCAGGCTGTTGTCTATGTTGCCATTTAGAATTGCAGCACCTGGAGCAGCTGGGAGTGTCTAAGCAGGTGAGCTCCTGGCTCTTATCTCTTTGCTCTACTCTTTTTGCTCCCAGGTAGAGCCTGAACAGCCTGTGCAGCACTGTGAGGGTTTAGGAGATCTGAATAACCTAGTTTCCCTAGCAACAGTGGTCTCTCTAATAACAGAGATAAAAATCTACCTCTGTTATTAGTGTTAAGATTTGCATAGTGTATCTGGCTATGGTAATACTTTGCTTCTCTTGGGGAAAAAAATGGTAGAATAAAAGCAAGAAGGTCCTTCTGCCTTGGGGATAATTGAAATCTCCATAGGTGGATTTCAGTGCTGTATGCAGCAGTAATAGAAAGAATAGGGATTATAACTACTTCTAAGCTTTTTAATGTGTGAAGGATCCTTGGAGGATACAGGAATAAAGTTTTAAATTCTGTGTTGAGCTTTCTATGCACAGATCTCATGGGCAGGCTGTGACACTGATGGATTCATTACTTGTTGAGATGTGTTATTTTCCTTTTTATGGATAGGGAGACAAAGTGATTCAAAGGTAGACTGAATCTTGTTGCAGAGCTAGGAATAAATCTCTTCTTCTGAGCCTAAGTCCCCCACCTGCTCTTTCCTTCAGTTTCTCTGATAAACAGATAAAGGTTTCCCTGTGCAGTAGGAGACAGAACATGTTATGGAAGGTAGAAGTGTGAAGCCTGCTTTTTAGCAGGAGAAAGTGAGGAAAGTGGAAACACTGTGATTCACTGCAAGCCTTTCTGCCAATATATTTTAATCTACATTCACTCCCCCATTAACAGAAGTAGAGCAAGCTATAAATTTTGAAAGCAAGCACTGGGAGTGAAAGAAATATTCCTGCCTTAATTTCTGCACAGCAACATGGTCCTGTTATGGCATATGTTCAGGAGGAACTGGTTTGGGTAAGAATAGTTTGAAGAAACTTTTGAAGAGAAAAAAGAACTCTTGCTTGACCAAAGCATGAAGCCTACATAAGCATCCAGTACTGATGCTCCTCCTTGCATAATGCCAGTGTTAAAGTGTCAGCAATACCTTGTAGGCTTCTTGGGTTAGAAAGTTGTACCAGGCGCAGGTATCTGTACTCCTCCACCAAAGTTAAATGTTGTTAAGAATTAATGGTGTGGGTTTTTGTGTGTGTGTTTTTTTTTTTTTTGTTTTTTTTTTTTAAATGTATGTTTTAATATGGCATAAATAGTGCAGAGATGCAATGGGACACCCATCCTCCTTCCTCTTTATTATTCTGGTTTCTGGAGTTGTGTAACAGTCCCTCAACGGTCTGGCCAAACAGGAGACCATCCGTCTTGTGTGTGAGGAGGGTACCTCTGCTTTTTCTTTTCAGTGTTTCCTTCCATGTTTGGTGGGGGCCATGCTGTCTTCTCTTCTGCATTCTTTTACCCAAAGAGCTTCTGAAAATTCCAGCCTGAGATGTGATTGGCTTGCAGGTGTAGCCATTATGCAACTTAGGGATATCTAAAAGCTCTTTCATTTGTGACTGAGCATCGTTATTTCAGCAACTCCCTTTCAAGCCTCCATTTACCAAATCAACTTAATAGGGTGTCTTCTGGATGGTTGGGGAGCTCTGGAAACTTCTAACATCTAGACAACAGTCGTTTCCAGAGCATATGTACCATTTCTTCCCCCCTCCTCCCCATTCCTGTGGTCTTGCTCAATCTAATGAGCCTTTTGAGGACTCTTGAGGCCTTCTTGAGCACAAGGTAGTACCACGAGTGGGTGGGTGCCATAAACTCATCGAGCTTGTTAAAATAATATTGCCCTGGTCCTTCAGCAGCCTCAAGGCCTCATATATAGCTGTTCTTTAGCTGGGTGGTATTTGGTATGAATCAAAACAGAGGCTCACTTCTACAGTGGGTTTATTGTTGGATTTTCAGTATGTTTGTGTGAATTCCCTAGACCAGCTCTCCCTCCCGAATAAGCCACATGGATCAAGTTTTATTCTGTTCCACACAGAGTTCACATCCTTTACTGGAATGAGTCATGCTTTAACTGAGTTTAGTGTGAGGGAGGAAAGTGGGCTTTAAAATGTTACTCCTCCACACTGCCTTAGTGATGTATAACACGATTATTAGTATGCTTGGCAGCTGCTACTTAGTATTTTCACAGAACCTGGATATTTGTGAAAACAAGTAAAAATTAGTTCTACTTGTGTTCAAGTGTGAATTTAATGCATTAAACTTGTAAGACAAAAAAATTTGTTTTGGGTTTTTTTTTGTGTGGGGTTTTTTTTTTTTTGTTTTGTTTTTTGGTTGTGTGGTTTTTTTGTTTTGTTTTGTTTTTTGGTTGTTGTTTATGTCTGTGGTTTTGTCTTCCAAAAGGCTCACCTGCTACTGTAAAAGCAGATCTAGCTTATCTCCATGTGCTTATTTTTTAGTCTGGGGAGAAGAGTGTTGTTTTGTGACTTGTAACTGAAAGAAAAGGAACAGCCCACCATTCAAGTGCAGCCATGCATGGCTGTTCCCCTTACACACGGGCCACATGTGCGCACTGACAGGTGAAAGTGCTTCCCAGGCCCATGTAATGCGTATGTAAGGTTGTCTCCAGCTTCTCTCAGGCAAGATGTATGTGAGGCAGTGTCACTGTGCAGTAAGCAAATTTTAGTCCTCTTGTGTATATTTCTTTGTGCAGGGAGGTAAAAGACCTTTTAACCAGGTTAAAAGACATTTATGAATTCATGTTCAGTGTGTCTTGAACATAAATTTTGCAGAAACAGCATGCAGCTCTAGAGACACGAGAATCAATTTTATTGCTCATCTTTCCAGCAGAAGTTCTTTGGTATCTCATACAATAATGGTTAATTTGATATTTTGTACCACATATTCATGACTGCTTTTGGTTGGGTGGTTTGTTTCTACTATTTGGGGGGTGGTGGTATAGGAGGGAGCAGAGTGGTGGTTTGTTCATTTGTGTAAGGAGTTAGTCTTCAAATGGAGAAGGAAGGCAGCCAGTAGAAGAGGGCCTCATAGGATTTTATTTTTGACAGTGGGCCGGTCCACTTGACATGTAAGACCTTTTTTTTCCCAGTCCTCTTGTTCCTGAGAGGTCTGGAAAGAGTTATGTTTCTTCCCATAGCTGTGTATTATCTAGGATTGCTAAAATGGCAGGGACATCATCTGTTCTTGTTCTACATTAAAAACCAGGGCCTGTTACCCTAATGCACTACATTCCTAACCCCATACTGCGTAACTTTTTTGGAGCCTGCAAAAGGATTTATTTTGGTGCTGATGCTTTTGAGGGAAAACTTGAGGGAAGGAGCTGTAATTAAATGAACACTGATTTTAGATACTAGAAAGGACTTTACCTTTTAGGACTTAGAATGAGTAAAGTGAACGTTTGGTGCCAACATGAGTGTAATTAAATTTACGCCTCCACTTGATCTATATTTAGCTATCACTGACTTTGGGTTGGCTGATAAGTAATCATAGTAGGTGAGAGGCAGGCAATGCCTTGGTTCACCAGCCTATCTCCTGTCCAGCTTGACTCTGACCAGACAGATTTTTCTCCTGTGTTTTCCAGATGCTTCATTCAGTGGCACACCACCTAGCTATGCCTATGATGCAGACCGTGCTGAAGAACAGAGGCGACATCATGATATGATGCCCTATATTGATGACTCGCCATCATCCTCACCCCATCTCAGTTCCAAGAGTCGGGGCAGCCGAGACACCCTATCTTCAGGGTCTCTGGAATCTACAAAATCAGTGAGTTCTTTCTTGCCTTTTTGAAGTCAGCAAAGCCTTTATAGGTTTGCAAGGGCTAGACTGCTCTAACAGGGAGCAAAGACAGGGACTACCAGCACTGTAGGATAGATTACCTGACATAGTAGAGCAGTGCCTGATTGATATTGTAGATTTAAAGCTAAACTGAGGTTTCTAGCTGGTGCTGAGCCTGAATTTCAGGGATGAGTGTTGCGTGTAAGCTTTTTAAACCTCAGTTTTTCACCCTCTGTGAAGTTTAGTGGAGAGAATCGGTGACGAATTCTTGTTAAGAGGGTCTCTAAATACCAGATATTTTGGAAAGCAGACTCTGAAATAAAACATCCTACATGATGATGTTCATACATCCGTGCATGTGGGTTGTCATTGACTTTCACAAGGAAAATAAGAGTTGTTTTCAGGTAGATTAAAGGCTTTGATAAAACATCTAGAATGTAAGATCTGTTTCCCTCACCCCATGAAAATGGAGTAAGTGGAATTAAAACTGCCAGTTCTGAAATACGGTGGCTCTGGGTGGGAGATGGCCACTTCTTATAATAAATTTCACTAATCACTAAATAGCTATCTGTATAATCTATGGTGGATAAAAAGTTCAGAAGGGACCACCTAGCCTGACCTGTGGTTTGATGTGGACCTTCAGGATATCCTGCCTTAGTTTTGCTTCAGGTTCAGTATCAAGGAACTTCAGGAAAACTTCTATTTTTGTTTTTACAATAGCCTTGGTAGACTCAGCTGCTTGCCTTGGTAAATAACTATAGACTCTCCTGTCTTCAGTCAAAAATGTCTTAAAAGTTTCAGCTTAAGTTAACTTGTTTGACTTTCAACCTTTGTTTCTCTTTATCCTTCCTTGATTGTAGAGCACTCAGTCCTAAGCTGCTATTTCCCTCAATATCTTTGTCATCTGCAAACTTTTGGTTTCCCCAAGTCATTCATAAAACAGCTTAATAGCACAGAGACAACTGTCACTTCCTTCCTAACTGTATTTCTGAGAAAGGGTAGCCAAAGAACCTTGAATTCCCACATTGTAAATGACACTTTGAAATCTGTCAAGTGGCTTAATTTATGTGTTGCCTTTATATTGTTCTATCCTATTAATGAAGATGTCAGGGGAGAAGAAGATGGATATTTTAGAGATACCGGGGTACATGTAGATCTACACCATCAACTTTATCAGGCAGTTTTTATTTCTCTCGCATCAGAATGATTTCAGGAGTTGTGACAAGTTCCACAAACCATCACTACTTGGCATTAATTATATACATCCTTCTATTACTCTTTATTGGGTGGTGCCATATCGTATGCTTCCTTACTTTTTCTAGTTCGTATGTCAGATTAAGAAGCCTACTTGAGGCAGTGTTCTAGTTCTTTTTTCTCATTTATAAAAATGCATTTTCAAGATCTCTTAAAGCATTATCATGTACATATGTTATTATTTGCTTAATTTTATTTGAACATAAAGTATGGAGTCTAGTTAGCTTCTTATGCTTTAATCTATTCATTCCAAGATACTTTTTTTAATCTCTCAAGATGAGAATTATTGTGATATGTAAGAGGCTTTTGAATGAATAAATGGTCATTAGTAAGTTCAAAGCTCTAAGAACATTTTAATATTGGCTTGAGATTTTCAAGGTAGTGTTTCATGGGATGAAGGAAAAATGCTGTGTGACTACATATGGCTGAGAGTTGTCTGCAAAAAACTGCTTGTCATAGTGCCTGTGACCGGAGGCCTGAAAGATACACTGCATAATATTTAATCTTGTTCAGTATTTGTTTGAACATTTTCTCATAAGCATTTAACAGTAATTAATTTCAAAGTTACCTTAATAATGCTAGAAGCCTGCCTTTTTTAAAACAGGTTTTTGACATAGATGGCAGATGTTGCAGATGTTTTATGGCTTCCAGAAGAAAGGGGTGGCCTGATACAGATTAGCCTTCTAATCATGAACCTCAGCTGCTTTGGTTGACCTTGCTGTAATTAGTCCACAAATGACAATGCCACTAATAAAGGATGGTCCATGACAAGGAGGAAGAGACTAATTTATAGATGGTTGCAGTATTTCCCAAAGAAATTAAACTTTCTGTCATCGTGACCTGTTAGGTACCTTGTACTGTAGTTATGTTTTTAGCTGTGGTGGAAAAGACTTCAGTAACAAAATTAAGTGTCAAACACTGTGCTGAGCCAAGCACATAAAATGTGTTGGACCAGAAATACCGTGTCTTTTCTATTTTCTTTTTCATTACACTTGATTAGGAAAAAACACTTCTTGTTTATCTGTTTGGTTTTACAGTTGTCTCCTTGCCTTTTTCTTCTTTCTTAGGTGCCTGCAATTACTTCTGAAAATTTTCAATTATCTTTATGACCAGAGTCTAGAAATAAAAAGTTAACTGTATGTAACAACGTAACACATGCAGTATATACACTGCTTTGTCACAATACTAAGATTATGAAGTCATTCAGAAGTTAGGAAATGCCTATGGTTATCTAGCCTTGCCTTGTGCCTATAGCCTTGTCTTGAAGCTTTATGATGATTTTCAATTACACAATCCTTCCTCTATGGGGCTCCTGCTTTGTTCAGTGTGTATAGTGAATGATACTCACTGTAGTCAATATTTTAACTCTAGAGTTATGTGTACACCTTACTTACAGGACACTGTGCAAACTGTATTCAATGAGTACAAAAATACCCATTTCCTGTTGGCATGACCATTAACTCCAAATGCAGTTGGAATGCTACACAGGTTTTAATTATCCTTGCAATGCTCCTGTGAGATAAGAGGATGGTATGTTCACTAACCACAGGTAATCAAGGCAGACAGATTATAGGAAAAGCATCTGCTGATTTTGGGTGCTTAATGTGCGATGCATAATGTTCTGCAAGACCAGGCTCTGACTTCTAATGCAGTTTTCTTCACATTTAAAGTAAAATCCCTTTAATTTCACTTGCAATCAAGAGTTAATAACACTGGAGTTAAGGCACTGAGAAAATGAAAGACATTGCAAACAGTGATTTTTTTTTTTTTTTTTTTTTTTTTTATATATTTTTTATTTCATTACTGTAATTCTAAGTAATTCTCTTAGTATCACACAGGCATAGCAGCATTCTGGCGTGATCCTCATCTGCCTTACCCATATTGAGGACATTTTGCTTTGACTTATTTTGTGAGCTTACTCTGGGCTTTGTACTTTTCTGTCAAGTGTTTGAGTAAGTCCTTTCATCTCCTTATAGCAGCCTTTGGTTGGACAATGCATTAGGATTGCACATGGTCTTCCCAGCCATGACGGAGAAAGTACAAACTGGCAAAAGCAGTGTCTCTGTCTGAAAGAGAATGAAGGGGAACCTCCTGGACTGCTGGTGGAGGGGCTTCATGTTCCCTCAGTGTGTAGAGTGACCAACTCTCCCAGCACCTCATGTTTTGTGTTTCAGGGAGTGAGGGCTGAAATTGACTTTGAGAAGGTTTGTGGTGGTCTACACTTTGTCATCTGGGATCTGTTTTCCGATTCACCACCACCACCTGAATCATATAAGCACATTTAAAATACACTAGCTAGTCTGCCTCCAAAGGGTACCACATCAGCCACTTCTTATGTATTCAGATTCCATCTGCTATGTGTCCATTGCACAAACATCTGTTGCTATCCGAGGAGGGTAACAAGAGGCACACCAGCGTTAGTTTTGTCTGTGACCCTGAGAGCACATCATCAACATGGGTGTTTGTAGTATGGATTTCAGCATCCCCTGACTCGTCGTTTTTGTGGTAAGGAGGCCTTAACAAATGTTTGTGTTGAGCAAGCGAGGTGGTACCCCCTCTTCTGGCTCTTCCAGAATCTCATGCTGAGCTGCTGACGCATGTCCTGGCATAAATCCAGTGCTTTTGCCAGACTTTGACTGTCGCTTTGAAGCGAGCGTATTGGGGAGAGAGGAAAAAGGAGAAATAAGCTCCACTGATGTTTAAGTTGTTTGTTCATTTAACTTTAGAAGTTATTTAATTTTTCTGAACCTTGCTTTCTGTAGCAGTTGAACTGTTACGATTGAACTTAAAAATAATTCTGGAAACCTACTGTGTGAAATGTCAGCCCAGATGTTTGCCAGATAAGACAGTGATGGCTTCAGAAGGTGTCAGACAGTGTTTATAATAGGTACTAGTAATTCGGTCCCAGAAGGAGAGAGAATGTGAATGTGTCTATATTACCCATTAAAAAGAAGTGGAGCAGATACCTGGGTAGAGTTTGATTAGGACAGAGGGGGAGCTTGCTACAGTATTCTTGGGGCACAGGGAAGTGCTGAGACAAGCTGGGAAATTAGTGACTGACACCCATGACTAGAGAAGAGTTATTGCTGAGAGTTAATGAGTGTGTAGCTTGCAGCTTGGAGGCTAAAGAGAGGGTGGGAAGCTTCAGTCATGATGATCCTATTGCTGCTACTCATGAGGGGAGAGATTATAGCCATGGAAAAAGTAGAAGTAAGAAGGGCTTTTCAAGATCTCACCAGCAAAGCCAGACTCAAAGGTGTGTGGGGGGCTCTGGAGTTGGGCACAGGGCAGCTGGTGGAGAGACAAAGCTGGTCCATCCTGTCCCGCAGAAATGAGGGGAGGAACTTTTCTAGAGTTTAGAAGATGAATTTTTTTCTGAAATAGATCTTTTCAATTCTTGAATATATCACGCCCAGGTAGGCAGGAGTGCTAAAGCTGAGAAACTAACTCCTACTTTCTATTCTGTTTGGAGGGGAAATTGGCTGGTACTTGGAAATTTACAGGTAGAATTTCTCTTCCCTTCTCTGCTGTGCAGTCCCTGGTTAGCACAGCATTGGCCCCCGTTGGTGGTCCTCAGACTAGATTCTTTTGTTCTCGGTGTCTGCCAGCCATGTGGAAAGCAGGGCTGTGGCAGAGCAGATTGTGGACTTTTCTTCTAGCTTGGTCCCAAGGGGGTCCAGAAAAGCTGACCTCTGAAGCTACATCTCTAAATGGAATTACTGGTCTGCTTGGTA